AAAAAAAAAAAAAACACACACAACCAAGAGTCTAAGGGAACTGTTATAATGTGTGTGATAAATTCTTTTAAATGTTTAATTATATGTTAAAAATATTTTTAAGTAACTATTTTTATTATTTCATGTTTTATTATATTTTTTTTAATTTCAAGCCTCTAACAAAAAAGAAAAAATTTAATTTTATAAAATTTATTTAAAAAAAAAAAGAGAATATATGTTAAATATAAAAAAAATCTAAAAAGCTAGAATTTCTCAATAAGAAAGATAATTTAAAAAAAAAAATAGTTGTGATAATTTTCCACATATGACAAAAAATGTGGAATTCCGCAATAAATTAAATAAATTGTTCAGCTATCAACAATTTATTTGACAACGGCTCAGCTAGCTCTGTCAAAACACATGCTGCACACCTTGATATTGGCCTTCAACCTGTGCAGGCTACATAGAGAAATACAAAAAACCTCTTAGCAAAGTCTCAGCAATATGCAATATGCAATATGCAATATTTTAATGCTATTCGGTCACAAATCACAAAAAACATGCAATAAATTAACAATTAAACAATAATAATTCTGCAAAGTCCACAAACGAACATGACGAACAATTGACAGCATAATTGCATTCTACAATTCAATGAAAAAGATTTTGTTTTTTTAATTCGGAAAAAAATATAAATAATCTAATGTGGAGCCAAAATGTGGAGCACGTGTTTGGCTGCCAAACAGTTTTTCACTCCAGACATGACAAAATATTGATTCAATGATTTATTCTGCAATCTAGCAGCTAGCGAAGCTGGCAGCCAGCCGACAACGTTGCGTATGCGCAATGTGCGGATTGCCAGCGAAAAACTCGCACCAACGCGGTCAATCAATTATCATAAATCTCCAATCAGCAGCAAAATGAAAAAAAAAAAAAAAATTGTTGAGATACCAAAAAAAGAGAATTATATTGCATAGACGGCTTTCATATGCTCTGCAATGAATGAGTGTATAAATATAAATATATTAAATTATACAAATATATTAAATTATATATTAATTTTAGATAAGACCTCTGAGCATATTAAACTTATTTTTTGTTTGAGAAGAAAATATATTATAACTAAATATATTATATATTTTATAAAAGTATATATTAATTAATGATAAAATCTTTTCTGTGGATATTAAACTTTTATATTTGAGAAGAAAATATATAATAAATATATATATAAAATTTTTTATTAAATTATATATTATTTAATGATGAAATTTTTTAACTTAACAGAGAATAATAGTAGAATATTGTGCTAAAAGCCCTTCTTTAGCTTAAACTTCTGTTGGTAAATCCTTTAAATGATATTATCATTCTGAAAGCTATCGTTTATCTATTGCGAATTCCCCTAACTGAAGCATTAGAGTGAGTGCATTTAAGACACATTAGTTGCACATATCAAACGGCAATTAAGCCTCTGTAGGCAAGAGCGATAACAATCTTTGTGGTAAAGCGCTGGCCGTTCATTGAGTAGCTTACTATATGATTGACAGACAGCCAGACTGACTGACTGCCTGACTGACTGGCTGACTTAGTGAGTTAGTGAGTGAATAAGCAGCTCTGCCTGGACAAGATTTATGTATAAGTTGACATTTGAAATGTCAAAATGCAAGTTAACCAACGGCAGCTGTTGGTAGTAAATGCAGGCGTAATGCGTTAACAGCAACAGTTGTTGCCTGTTTTTTTGTGTGTTGTTATTTTATTGTCTTGTTAGTCGCCCACCGTTGACCCAAATAAAAAAAGAAAGAATGAGAGAGAGGGAGAGAGCGAGCAGTTGAGATGCAAAGAGCTGCAAAGAGGCTGACTATCGACCACCCGGCTGTGCTGTTGCTTGGCTTGCTTTAATAGCCTCACGTAGCCTAGCGCTCGAAATTTCGTAGTTAATTAACCCGTTTGCATACATTTTGTCTCGGCCAGGTCGGGCAGCGACTGGTCCTGCCGGCCTCGACGACCAACCAGCCAACCAGCCAGCCAGCCAGCCTGCCAGCCAACCGACCATCCGACCAGTCCGCAATTCCCAGTTGCCATTTCCCAGTTCCAATCCCCACTCACACTCCCACTAGCTCAGCCATAGGAATTATTTATGCTTTCTTTGATCGAATTCGGCGCTGGAGCGTCATAATAGTCACAGTTCTCGCGACTCAAGCGAGTCTCCTCGATTGTTTTCGTGCGCCCCATAAATTAATCGAATGTTAACTCGGTTCAGGAAATTGCATTCGACTTGAGTGCAGCAGGCATTGGCCTGAAGATACCCTGTAAGTTAATTCTTATACAAGCTGCTCTTAATATCTAGCAACATCTTATATTTCTCAAGTATACATTTTTAAATAAGAATCTAGAAGCAATTATAGGATATCTATAAAATATAGTAAATAAAAAATTAGAAAAAGATAAAAATCTGAAAAAATCAAAGACTATATTCATACTATATATACTCATGTACCGTCACTTTTTTGCCTCTTCCATATGTCTCATTCCCAGTCTGCATACCCAACCTTTAATTTACAGGGTATTCCACTAATTATAGCGTTTTGTTTGTTATAATAAATGGTTGCCGGTGTTGTGTTTGCGGCGCCCACAAAGTCAATTCAGCTGTTGAAGTGAATAAATTAACCACAGCGAACACAATTAAATTGAGTAGTCGAAGGTGGAGTCATTGTCCAGTTGAGAATATTAAAATATAACAGCGCAAAAAAAGAACGATTTATCGAAGAATTTTATACTTTAACAAATAGAATCATCATGTGAAGCAGAAATTAATTGAGCAGTGGAATATGGAGTCATTCAGATGAGCATAATAACTTATAAATAGCCTTTATCAGCAATTGAAGAGTGCAGAAATGAGTAATTTAACAAATAGAATCATCAAAGATGCGTTCAAAATAATTGGATGGAGCTATATAAAAGTTGAGATCATTAGCATACAAAAAATTGATGAAAAAATATAATAAATATAAAATGGGGATGGAGAGTTGAATAGAAGTTTTGTATGATATAAATAATATAAATAATAATATGTATGCAGAATCTCACAAATAACAACTGTATTTACTATAGAACTTAAGTAAATAAAATAGAAAATTTAACTCTATATAGCACTAGCTTTTTCTCTTAAGAATTGACACAGTTTCCAGATTTCTCTCTTTCCAAACGAAATCTCAAGACAATAAATAGCTAATCTCCCTATCATATATTAAAGAATTTACCCATTCATTGGATTGTGGTTTCCCTCTCCCCCACTCCATCAGTAAATTCTCATTATGTTTGCATTCAAGCATGCATTGGTGTCGTATTGCGAGCACATTTATGTGGCATACGTTAATCCGTATGTCTCCATTATGGAGGCACGCGAAAATCGTGAAAATGATGGAGTTTATGTGGCCATATCCATAGAGGCTTACAGGCAGACATCGTTAAGACGTCTCGACATCTGAATTATGCTTGAGCATTATATTTGCTCGATTAGTTTTTTTTTTTTTTTTTTTCATCTGTAGTAAACAAATTCGAGTCTGGTATTTTGGAGGATTGGAGTCACGAGTGTGTTGAACTCGCTCACAAAACAAGTGGCATGCCACACGCTGTCCGTGTCATAAAAAACGGAAATTTTTCAAGTCATATGCAAATTTGTAATGCGAGCGTTTATTTTTGAGCGAACATAAACTTTGGTATTAAACAACAAGTTTTGCAGTTAACTGCATTTTGAATGCCATTGATAATGGACAATTTGAAGCGCTTTGACCTTTCGCAGTGCTTGTCAAACTGCGCCGAATGATCGATTGCAGCGGCGCTAATGAATGGCACATTAATTTGCATTCAAATGCAGCTAAACATTCGGATTTTTTTTTTTTCGCCAGTTTGTCATTGAATAATGAGACATGCAGCTTGCTTTTCCACCAAAAAAAAAATGTTAAATGTTGTTGATTATTTTTTCTCCGTGTTGCTTGGTCAGGAAACATAAATTACAAACGCGACAAAATAGATTGGTTTAGTGCTGCAGCAGCAGCACCTCTCGAAATTTGAGAAAAACATTTTGTAAATGTCACATTCACATGCTGAAAACCATGTGCCAAATATCTGGCGCGCCCCCAATCAAAAAGAAAAAAAAAATTATTATTAATATTTATGAATTTTCATATTTTTTGGTTTTTCTCTCCTCTTTTCCGAGCGTGTCTGTGTTGGCGGCATTTTCAAATTTCAAATTTTCCTGTTGACAGTTTATTTTTCACATTTTTATGCGTGCAAATTTTATGCCCATTTATTACAGCTGAATAATTGGCAACAACAAAATTATTTTGCAAGTGTTTTCGGTAGTTTTTTAGTTTGATTCGTTTGTTTTTTTATTGTTTACTTTGAAAGCTCTTAAAGCTAGAATCGTTAAGATCGTTTAGATTTATGTGGATAGGGCGGCGCGGGTTTTTTAAGTGTTAAGTGGCGCAGGCTTTTATCGACTGCCCGAAATCAACAAGTTACAGCAATAAAAAAATATATATATAATGTGCAAAGTTTTTGTTTGTAAACAATTTTGATGGATCTGTGCATGAGCTGAGAATTGATTTCAGTCGAATTTAAAATTGTAAAATATATGTATATTGTAAAATATATATTTAAATATTATTTTTACTGAAGATCAAAAACGTTAAAATTTAATTGATGAATTAGGAATCCCAATATATATTTTAAATATTGTTTACATTAAATATTATAAATATATAAAATTTAAATATTTGTTAAATTTAATAATAAATTAATTTTTTCAGCAGTTAATATAGCCTAATTCCCATTTAATATTCCCAATAGTGAATTTTTTATGAAATATTAATGAAGTAATCAATATATATCAAATTAAATAATAAATTCCCATTTAATATTCCCAGCATTGAATTATTTTGTTGAATATAAATTAAATAATCAACTCATGCCGTTCAATATTCAAATATTTAATATTTTATCCTTACCTGTCATTACAGATTGCCAATGCAGTCCAGTGGGCTCGCTGTCTACGGCTTGCGACAAGCGCACCGGGCAATGTTCCTGCCTGCTGAACGTGGCTGGGCGCCGCTGCGACAAGTGCAAGCCGGGCCACTGGAATCTGACGCAGGGCGTCGGCTGTCACGACTGCCAATGCGATCCGCACGGAGCACGCGGACACGAATGCAATCCGTGGACGGGCCAATGCGATTGCAAAATAGGCGTTGGGGGCCGGCATTGCAATGAGTGCACCGAAGGCTTCTATGGCTTCAGCACGGATGGCTGCCAACGGTGTGCCGCATGCGCAGCAGAGGGTCAGGTCTGTGATCCGCTCAACGGCCGCTGCATATGCCCCAAGTATACGCGTGGCCTGGGCTGCGGGCAGTGTGTGCCCGGCACCTGGGGCTGGCAGGCGCGTCTAGGCTGTCGGGAGTGCGAATGCGATCACATCGGCTCCATTGGGCAGCAGTGCGCCACCGTGGGCGGGCAGTGCCAGTGCCGTGAGGGCTATGCGGGACGCACCTGCAATAGCTGTGCCGTCGGCTACTTTGGCTATCCGGAGTGCCGGCGCTGTGGCTGCGACGTAGAAGGCTCCTTTACGCGCGCGGACGGACTCATTGCCTGCGACTCGAACGGCCAGTGCCCATGCAAATCTCTGGTGGTGGGCCTCAAGTGCGACACCTGCATGCAGAGCACCTTTGGCCTGTCCGCACTCAATCCCGAGGGCTGCACCCGTTGCTTCTGCTTCGGGCGCGCCGCTGAGTGCGAGCAGAGTGAACTCTCCTGGGGTCACATTCGCATGCCGGAGGCGCGTAATCTGAGCGTGCAACAGTTGCGCCCACAACACGTGCCCAATGGCGACTTCGAGTATATTGTCGTCGTCCAAATGGCGGGCAGCGTCTCCTATCGCGAGGATGCGGAAATTCAGCGAATGAATGACTTGAGCCTTGTGCCCCGCTCCACGGGCAATGTATCCATTGGCGCCTATACGCAGTTCTATCAGCCGCTCTACTTCCAGCTGCCGCCACAATTCTACGGCGATCGCACCACCAGCTACGGTGGTTATCTCTACTTCTCACTGATCACCGATGGCGCTCAGATGCCGCTGGAGAGGAAGATATTGTCACAGTATCCGCTCGTGCAGCTGCACGCGCACACAAAGTTGGTTTTGGACTTTTATGAGCACGAGGAATTCGAGTACTCGCTGAATGTGACCCATCGCGTGCCGCTCCACGAATCCTACTGGAAGTACCATCAGAACAATCAGGCGGTGGACCGCGGCACCTTGATGGCGGCGCTGCAAAATGTGAAGCATATTTTTCTGCGCGCCTTTGCCTTTGCTGATTTTCAGCAAGTTGTGTAAGTTTCTCACAGATTTCAATTTGAATTTCACCTGCAATATTTAAATTCAATTCACAGCTTGCACAGCGTTCACATGGATGCTGCGATCTATGTGCAGGGCTCCACCAATCTGCTGGCCAAGGGTGTAGAGCAGTGCAAGTGCCCGAAACGTTTCGCTGGCCTCTCTTGCCAAGATCCGGGACGCTCGTTTTACCGCTGGCGCAACACCAGCGACATGGAAAGCGTTTTCATCGAAGATCTGATTGGACGCGCGGCTCCCTGCCATTGCAATGGACGTAGCAATGACTGCGATCGCGAAACCGGCGTTTGCTTGGTAAGAAATGCGCGCGAATAAGTTGAATTAATCAAATTTTTTTATAAATGCGCACTATCACTTAAATTGTATGAAATGAAATGAAATTAAATCCGATTAGAATAATTTTCGCGCACTGCACTTGTTTGCGTCGCCATTTGCTTTTTCACTGAACTGCGGCCAAGCTCGAGCACGAACTGGTTCATTGGAGCTGGCACTTGAGCTGTGATCCTTTTAAAATTGGTATGCAGCTCACATTGCCTAATTAGCACAATTGAGTATTTTATGCAAATTGAAATTTAGTGATTGAAATTTTAATCCATTAGTATGTAAAATATTAAATATAATTTTTTGCAAAGTTTGAGGAATATATTTATAATTTAATTATGAAAAAATGATATTTATTATAATAAATCTTACAATTTTTGTTATTTTATTATTTTTAATTTTATTTTCAATATCTATTGTTATTATTAAGGTTATTATTAATTATTTGTATTATTCATTATTATTATTATTTATTTTTATTAATTTATTATTCTTATTATTATTTTTATTTTATTTTTATTTTGTTTTTGCAATATTGACTTTGTTTAACACTGGCAAATTACTTTTGCAGAATTGTCGCGATAATAGCGGCGGCGCGCATTGCCAGCACTGCGCCGACGGCTACTACGGAGATCCGAACTCACGGCACGGATGCCAGGCCTGCCCCTGCCCGGAGACGAATCGCAATTTTGCACGGGGCTGCAATGTGCGCGAGGGCGAAGTCAGCTGCGTCTGCAAGCCCGGCTACACGGGCCGCCTGTGCGAGCACTGTCAGCCGGGCTACTTTGGCAGTCCGATGCAGTATCCGAACAGCAGCTGCCAGGCGTGCGAGTGCCACGTGGTTGGCATACGGGCGGAGGGCTGTGATGCTCAAACAGGGCAGTGCCATTGCCGGGAGGGCGTGACAGGCTTAAAGTGCGATAAGTGCATGGCAGCGCGTCATCATCTGCAAGACCAGGGCTGCAGGCGTGAGTATACGAAATGATATACCCTGTATAAACTATATTCAATGGATGTACAAACTTTGCCTTCTCAGTTTGCGACAACTGCACGCTGCTGCTGCTGGACTATGTGGAGCTGGTGGGGCACAAGCTGCGCCGCGGGCTGCACAACATGGACTTGACGGGCATTCCGGCGCCTTACCTCAAGTTGAGTGAGTACGAGCGCGCCTATAAGGAGTGGCGTACCCGCCAGCAGGACGTTAGCCAGGCCCGGCAGCTGCTATTGGGCTATGACGTGGGCGCCCTGCTTAAGATGGATGCGCATGCGGAGAACAATAAGTTCCAGTCCCGGAAAGCTCTGGCCACCATTGGCAAGCGTCAGCATGCGCTCCAGTCGATGCAGGAGTCGGCTCTGGTCCTCCAGCAGGATGTGCGCAAAATGCGTGGCGAGCAAATGCAGACATTGCAGGATTTGCGCAACTATGGCACGGCTGCCCATCATCTCAGTCTGCCCACGGCCCTGAAGCAGGCCCGATTCTATCTGGAAGCCATTCAGCAGCATCATCATGTGGTCCAGGATATACGCAGCTCCAGCGACTGCGCCTGGCAGCTCTTCTATGCCACCGGCAACGCCTCCGATGCGGCCTACGATCAGCGGGCGCGCCTCGAGATGCTCTGGCGCGATCTGAATCAAACCAATTATCGCGTGGCCGATATGCGGCTGCACCTCGATCGCACCCAGGACGTGGAGAGCGAGGCGGACGATGTGCTCGAGCATGTGCGCAATCTCAGCGGCCATGTGGCCGAGCAGTACCAGGAGCTGAGCGCACTGGACCAACACATACAGCAACAGTTGAATCCGGATCAAACTGAGCTCGGCTACAAAAATCTTCGAACTAGCATTGAGCATCAGTTGCAACTGAACGAGCAGCGACGCCAATTGGCTGCTGCAGCTGCTCAGCTGAATGCGACGCTTCTGGTGGAGCTGGAGCTGCAGCGCGAGGTGCGCAAACATTGGCTACCCAAGGCGGAGAAGCATGCAACACGCCTGCTCGAACGCTCCAACGAATATGCCAAACAATTCCAGCCGACGCGCAATGCCGCACGCATTGCCATGCTGGCCAGGTGAGTAGTGATAGTCCATAGCCCAACAGAAGCATTCCTTACTCACCCAATCTCTCTTGCTCTCTCTCTCGCTCAGCTCCGCCCACAGCAACATTTCGCTGGCCATTGCTGCCGCTCAGCAGGCATCGCTGCTGGCCAAGGAGCGCGTGTTCGAGGCCCAACGCACACTTTATCCCAGCGACGGCAGCTCGATGATCGAGCGTGCCAAGCACTCGCTGCAGCGTTCCAAGCAGCTGCAGCGTGAGGCCTTGCAGCAAATGCAAAAGTCCACCGTGCTAAAGGGCAAGCTGCAGCAGCAGCAACAGCAGGTGGAGGGCATTAAGCGCACCATCTTTGAGACGGGACAGCGCAGCAATAACATTACCAGCCAGCTGCAGTTGCTCAGGAATAGCTCGGCGCGGCGCAATGCGCAGCAGAGCATGAAACTGGCGCAGCACACCAGCGACGAGATGCGCCAGGAGCTGAGGAAGGCGAAGGAGCTGCAGCAATCCATACAGCATATGCGCAAATCCTTTGCCATGCTCGAGCCAGACTGGGAGATCAAACTGGGCATGGCCGAGGAGAATATCTCGCTGACGAAAACGAATTTGCGGCTGGGCAACGTCTCGCTCAGCTACATCGAGCAGCAGGCGGCCAAGGAGCAGCAGATCTTCGAGCAGTGGAACAACAGCATGGCCAGCCAGCTGCAGCAGCTGAGGGATCAAATAGCCAAGGCTAGGCATGCAGCCGAGGCGGTAAGTGGACGAGCTCATTAACTCTATTTTAACTTGGTTTAAATATATTTCTCCTTGGGCTAGATTGATGTCTCGCTGGAGTCGCTGGGCCCCAAGTGCAGTCGCAGCTATTTGCCCGTCTCCTATGGCCTGAGCACCTCCAATTCGCTGCGCCTAAGCTTCAGCCTAGCCAATCACATGGGCAACTCGCCGCTGCTGCTCGTGCAGGGCAGCGAGGGTCGCCACATCACATTGGAGCTGTACAAGAGGCACGTGCGCCTGATTTGGTATCTGGGCGGCAGCACGGCGACCATAACCCATCCGCTCGAAGTGCAAACGCGCGATCCCAAATACGACGACGCCTGGTATCACGTGGAAGCGAATCGCACACTGAACCTGGGCAGCCTGCTGGTGCGTCGCATGAACAACTTTGGCTCTCTGATGCCCGGGTCTCCGGTCACGGGCTCCACGGATTCGGAGCACACGCGTTTCTATCAGACTCACGACGAACGCATCTTGCTGGGCGGCCAAGCCTCCAAGGACCAAACACCGGGTCTAAATGTCGTCGTGCACCAGGTGGAGGTGGACAATAAACCGCTGGGCATATGGAACTTCATTAGCAGCGAGGGACGGTGTGGCGGTGCCATGATTGGCGCCAGGGAATCATCGGCCTCCTCGGTGGCACGGCACTTCAATGGCCTCGGCTATGCGCAGCTGAAGAAGACGCGACCGCGTCCCTATCGCAAGAATCTCTTTGCGCTGCAGATGACCTTCCGCACGCTGGACGAGAATGCGTTGCTCTTCCTGGCGGTTGATGACAAGAATGTGAGTTTATTGACTTTACTTCAACAGCCTTCAATCCACTCACCTCTCTCTCCCTCTCTCTCTACCTTTATAGAACCGCTCCGTTTCGGTCACATTGAGTCGCGGTCGCATCATGTTCCGCATCGATTATGGCGACGAGTCCAAGCTGGAGATCAATACCACCAAAAAGTACAACACTGGCCAGTGGATCAAAATCGAGGCGGCCCGCGAGTTCTCCACACGACGCAGCACCGAAAATGGAATGCTACGCGTTAACAATGATCGCCCCATCTCCGGCGCACCCACATTGCCCGTGAAGAGTCACATGCTGCCGGATCTGTCTAAGGCGGTGTATTATCTGGGAGGCGTGCCACCAGGTAGGACATTGGCAATCGGTTGAGTCTGTCCAGGAATATATTATATAATGGAGTGCGACTTAAAGACATATCCTATAGAAAAATAGGTTCTGTATGCAGTACAGTCCGGTTATAACGACTCCGCTTATAGAGTCCGTACGGTTCTTATGACGAAAACTCTGGTTCCCAGTTAAACTTTTATGAGTAAATTTATATGATTATAGCGTCTTCCAAGGGCGTTGTTATAACCGAATTCTACTGTATTAATAAGTTGTTATTAGAAGGAGTGCCTGACTAAAATATATCCTATCCATTTCATACATCCAAGTGTCGTGAGACCAATTCTTAATGACATAGGTATATTTCCGTCTATGACTCTATCATATCGTTAGTCCCTCACTACACTCGCTCTATATATAGATATATACTCACTTTCATTTCCACAGGCTTTACTTCAGGCACCACTAAAGCACCCGGCGCAGACAATCCCTTCCTTGGCTGCATGATGGATGTGCAGGTGAATGGCGAGACTTATGATCCGCTCGAGAGCTCTACATACTTTGGCGTGGAGTCTTCCTGCAAGGACATGATTACAAAGTATGTACACACATTCTTATCTTACACAATCCCTATTAACATACCTGTTTGCTCCTCCACAGAGCTGGCTTCTCGGGAAATGGCTATTTGGAGCTGCCCTCGCAATCGCTGCGCAAGCGTGCCAATGCGGCTCTGGTGTTCCGCACACTTCAAGCGGATTGTTTGCTGCTGCTGGCTGCGTATCCACCCGAAGTGCTGGCCGACTACGATGCCAAGGATATCAAGGGCAACTATTCGATGAGTCTGGTCGATGGCCAGCTGCAGGTGTGGATCAACTCCGGTCGCAGTTTCATCAAAATGTCCTCCAATGCCAGCCAGCTGAACGATGGCGAGTTGCATGTGATCAACCTCAGTAAGACTGGACGCCGTCTGGAGCTGATGGTGGACGATGAGCTGCAGGAGGTGCGCACCCTGACGGGCTCACCCTCACTCATCAGTCTGCCCCAGGATGCGGGCGGGCTTTACATAGGTGGTGCACCGCCCCACGAGATTTACACACCCTTGGCGCCCACCTTTGTGAAGCTGGAGGGTGCCGTGCGGGATGTGGTGTTCAATAACCGTACGATCAATTTCAATGATGCCCTGACCTTTGTCAATGTGCAGATTGGACGCAACGGTCCGGTCATGGGCAGTCCCAAGGGCGCTCTCTACGATGTGCTGCTCAAGACGGAGCCGATGATTGGGAAGAGTTTCACCGCCTCACCGGAGGGCTGCAAGCGGGTAAGTTTGTAATATAAATTCTCTGGTATTTTGTGGATGATGGGAATTGAGGGATTGGGTTTATTGCATGTATATATCACGTATATATATATATATATATATATCATTTATATATAGAGATTTGTGGCTACCTAACTCTCAACATTCTGATCGACTTAAATGTTTCTTTTTGTTCTTATAGGATTTTAGTTGCTAAGCAATTATGTCACAAAAGCTGCTACGCAAAAAGCTTCAAGCGCTGCGCTGCAAGAAAAGCTCTTTTGTATACTAATTTCGCCTAAACAAAAAACAAATCAATCAAATTCAGCTTACTAAACATAGCTACTCAATGTGGTCTACATGTGGATTAATCATACAAAATCATCAAAATATAACCTCAGATTTAACCAAACGATGTCATTCGCTAAAGCTTTTAAGCTTTTTTGACATGCAAGCTAGTTTACAGAGCAAAAGCTGTTTTGTATGCACAAAAAGCTCTTGTAAGCTGGCTTAACTAGATTTAAGCATTCAATGGAAGTTGGTTCACAATGAGCAAAAATTTGGTTGGAAAGCATATAAAACTCATTTAAAATTAATAATAACTTTTAAGTATACAAAAGCTTCTACATTTTCTTTAAGTTTATTAAAAGTCTTGCAAGCCGGCTCAGTTATCTTTAAGGATATTATGAAAGCTGCATTAATATACACCTAGTCTCAGTTCAGAGCTACTGAATTTTAACACTCGATTTTTAAAAGCTCTCAATTGAATTTCAAATGTTATTTTTTCATAAAGTTTACACAGATAAAGATGTTTATTCTCTATCAAAGCTATCTAATTTCAGTTCTAATTTAAGCCACTCAAAAAACTTTATGGTTTTGATACCATCGATTCAATGCGACATAAAAGCATGAATTTCAGCTTAAAAGTTTCTTAAAGCTCATATTTCGTTTGCAAGCTCTTGTTAGCCAGCTTTATTAAATTTAAGAAGTATAATAAATGTTAAGTTTCAAAAAGCTCTGGGTCGCATTTGGATGTTCAATTACACTAGACAACAGCACACTTATTATGTAAATATTTCATATTTTCATAACAAATATCTTTTGTATATTATAAGCTCAAATATAGTGTTTAAGGAAGAATCTATCAATACATCTTTTTATATATCTATAAACATCACATTTTTCACTCATCAACGCTTTGTGTACGTTTTTGCTTTCATTGATGTATCATACGAATAACTTTTTGCCTTCTTCAACTTGTTATCACATTTTTAAATAAAAGCGAACGAACATTTTTTAACAAAAGAAAAAGAAACAAAAAATCATGCCAGTTATTTTATTATTTTTTAACCTCACGCTGTGAAAGCTCGCTCACAAAAGCTCAGAACTAACACAAAGTCGTCGCGGTGAGTTAAGTTCCCATTCAGTTCAATCAAAAGCTTCGATTAATCCATTTCCATTTGCTTACAGATCGGAAGCTACTCCTACGAACCGAATGCCTTCAAGTTCGGCGACGAGCTCTATAGCTACTCGCAGCTGAAGCTGCCCGAGCGTCACTTCTGGCAGCGCAACTTCCAGCTGAGCTTCGAGTTCCGCTCGTTCTATCCGAATGGCATGCTCTACTTGTCGCCGGGCAGCAAGGAGAAGCCCAAGCACTACGTCACCCTACTGCTCAAGGATGGTCAGCTGGTGTTGATAGTGCGCGGACGAAGGCGCGAGGAGCTGCTGCTGACCGCCAAGCTGAACGACGGCGAATGGCATCGGGTCACAATCGGCTGCCACGATCGCAAGGTTACGCTGAGCGTTGAGATTGGACGCACAGACCAAAAGACTTCGGCCCAGATGAAGGTGCCCAAGAAAATAGGCGCCTCACAGCTAATGCTGGTCGGTGGCCTGCCCCAGGCACCGGTCAAGGTGCCCTCGGAGCTCTATATGCGCCTCGAGCCCTTCAAGGGCTGTCTGCGGCGATTCAGCATCAACAATAGCACACAGGATCTGGCACGGCCGGGCAAGCATGCAAATGTCGGACAATGTTTCCCGAAAGTGGAGCGCGGCAGCTACTTCCCAGGCGATGCCTATGCCATATACAGTGAGTGGGCGGGGTTTAATTTCAAAGTGGGCAAGACAGACGATACATTCCATGTAAACTGTAGCTATTTAAGGAGTGAATTTGTATGATAGAGTTTATATGAAGGATTCTTTCCTCGTATGAATATCTAAGATTTCTGATTTCCTGTAATAGCCGAGTTGTGAGCTGCCACCAGAACATTCTCTCTTATCTAAGTAGAACTTCTCTCTTCTTCCCCTTCACTACCTTTATATACATCATTTCTAACTCTGATGTTCTTCACTTGCAGAGAGAAACTTTCATGTGGCCAAATATTTGGAACTGGAATTGGAATTTCGCACCTCTGAGCTATCCGGCATATTGCTAAGCGTATCCGAGCCCAACAACTTTCCTTCGCTCTCACTGGAGCTAAGCAATGGCAATGTGAGTTTTACTAAACTTTAAAAATCTTTGGTATATATTAAAGTATTCCCTCTATAACAGATCGTTTTCTCTTGTGATCTGGGCGATGGCGTGCCCTTCCGCGTGGAGTCTACGCTGCCGGACAAATATGCTTTGTGCGATAACAAATGGCACAACATATCCGCGCTCTATGACGGCGAACAGATTGCACTAAGAATCGATCAGCTCCCAGCTACGATCAGCATGTCGAGCCAACGCAATGCGGGCAAGGTGCAAACACGTTCGCCCCTTTACATAGGCGGACTGCCAGGTGAGCTTATATTGGGATAATACTATATATAAGGACTTCTTCAACTTGTATATATATGTGTATTTCAGATATTGCACCGAGTGGCTGTTTGTTGTCTCGCGATAACTTCAAGGGCTGCATACGTAATGTCTCCATACGCAATGAGAGACGCGATTGGATCGATATGGATGATCTGCACAATGTGCTCCTCAGCGAGTGTCTTGTCTCCAGCGATGATTGAACTATATCTATCTAACGAAATATGTATAGATCGCGGAACAATTTCTGGTTCCTGTTGTTGATGCCACACCAAAACTTTTTCCAAATGCATTGTGATCAAATAGGAGTTTTAGACTTAGACTTAGACAACGTCCAGTTCGTAGCATATCACTGCCATATAAGTAATATTTACCTAGCTATACGTTTAGCCAGTGACTGCATTTTATATACTACACACATATATATTTTTTACATGTATGCCCTACACAAATATTTAATTTATTTAAATTTTAATTTATTTTGTTTTTTATTTTAAAGAGGCTTTAAGTTTGCGCATCGATTTTATTTGTATTTTTTTTAACTGTATACCTTGTGAATCTCCCATTTGTACATTGCCTATTTATATTTATAAACATATTTCAATATCGAATAAGTATTTCGATTAGTGTACTTCATAATTTAATTTATACATATATTCATTTGTACATAACACATATTTAGCGTAAGATTTTTATATTTAAATTAACTTTACGTTTGAACGTTCTAAAATATAAAATGATTTAAAAAATAAAATTTGTGTAATAAATATATGTATATTTATTTACTGTGTAGATCCTTAATATATGAAGTTTTCTTTGTATTTTTTGGAGTGTACATAAATTAAGTTTGCGTATCATATAAATACATATTTTATATAATATTTATGATGATTTAGATTGCTTCGATTTGACCATTACTTATTATACAAAAACCTATTGGAATATCTAATATTGAGTATGCCAAATTCTCCTTGAAGGAGTCTTCCGACTTTTGAGCACAAGTTCATAATCTCCTCCTTCACTTATCTCGATTCCAAAGATTCGATTTTTCACTTGAGAATATTAAATTACTATTCTAGCTTTTTAGCTTTAATTGCACGATTATGTAAGTATTTTAAAATAAAATATACATTTAATTAAAATGCTGATATACAGTTTTCGATTCAAAGAATCCAATAAATCATTTGTTAAATATATAAAGAAAATAATCTACATTCAATGCCAGTTGAATTTGCCTTAACCTTCAGAAACAAAGGAATATTTTCGGTTTTTATATTTCTGAAACACCGGATACATTTGAAAATAAACTGGCCATTATGAGTGTATTGAGTACCCGAAGAACGGAATATAGCGGTCGTCGTAGCACTCGAAAGTCTCTGACCACATCAACATCAGGAAGCTACGAAATTTTCTGCGTCAATTTCTATGACAACGGGTTGCGAGCGGTGCGAGATGAATATATCAATCAGATCAAGCTCGGGCTGCGACAATTTCTGTTTGTCATCGATCTGGATGGTGAACTGGAGGATAATCGCTTGGCCAACCGGAGGAGGACTCGTGCCAGCGGCAAGGGCAGACAGTCAGGTGAGCAGAGCACTAACTGACTTACTCCACCTGATCAGCATTTTTGGTGTTTACGACTAGAACTTTTGACCACCGATCCTGTGACCCACACGCTGTTGCGCATTCAGAGCTGTCTGCGTGAATACGAATTTATAACCCGCAAGATTGAAGCGGAGCTGAGCTTCAATATGCTCAAGTACTATCAGAAGAATATGCCCGCCCAGCTAAAGATACGTTCGCCTGACTCCAAAAAGGAAAAGCCAGCCGAATCGAAACGCTCGGCCAAGTCCAAGGACACCGATACCGTTTCGTTGGCCAAAATCACATGCTTTAGTGTAACGGCTAAGGAGCACCACAAAGTGGGCAAGGGCCAACCCCTGTCAAAGCGTCGGGTAAGGCTACGAATTGAATTTGTCTTCTTATCAAGTCTAATTTTATATCTTCAATTCGATTTCAGTATATTAAAGATGCTCCTGCCAACACGACAATAATCATTGTCATCATTGGTACCATCAAAAATGACTTCTACAAGACTCTGCTCGTGTAAGTTGGACGAAAATAATTTCTTGACTGGGTTAGGGGTTGAGAATGGAATGAGCTCGAAGCAAGTTTGCTCCTAGGCTAGCTTTTGAAGTTGAACAGAATTATCTGATTAATAATTTTGTATTGATTTGGTATTAGGTTTTCGATAGACTCAACAAAATATTTGGCTTTTGTTTAGGGTTTTTCGATTGGTGGATTGCCGGAAGAGCGGGCTTTTGGTTTTTCAACGTTTGATCTTCATATTTCCTTCCTAGAATAAACAGCTGAATTTCGTTCATTTCGTTTGTTAGTCCGAGTTAGAAAAATGAGAGACGTTTCGTTTCCGTTGGTCCAAACAATGTTCGATCTTTTTCCTATTTCCTTGAGCACAAATTGTGGAATGATGATGGCTAACGACCTGATGAGCATTACACTAACTCGAAAATTTCCTCTTTTGATATACCTTTATGGGTAACTCCAATAACTTCTTCATTATCGCCTTCAGAATGAATCAGCCGTTGCGTGGAATCGTGCACTTTCTGCCCAAGGAGTGTGCCTATGATGTGCTGGTGCCGCGTCCACGCATCGAGAAGGAGCGCCGCGAGACCATCGAGATGATCCAGGCCGATATTTATAAACTGCGTAAGCGGGTGTCGAGCAAGCCCGTCGGCATAATGCAGCAGCAGCTGCCGCAGATGTCCATGTGCCAGGCGGCCAGGTATTCGAAGAATATTTTTGATCAGCTCACCTGGTTTCTGTACGATATGAAAGTGTTGCGGGAGCAATATGACGAGTACTATGTGAAGCCGTATTGTCAGATCGATGTCAAAATGAGTCCGGGCACCAGCATGCTGGATAGCTTTCAACTGGCCGACTCTCTGAGCATTCAGGGACACTATTTGAAGGCTGAGATGCCGGCGGTGCACGATGACGATGCCTCGGTCTATTTGTACGTCGAGTCATTGATGTGTACGTTCGGTAATCCGCGCGATTTGATGACCGAAATGGAGGTACTGATGCTAGCGAATCCCACATCGAATTTGTATACCAAAACTCTGGATAAAATCAAGGTCTATTCGAATGCCTTCAAGAGCATTATTAAGTTGATGAAAAACGAGCTGTTGTTCGTCGAGGAGGCGAATACGCTGCTCGAGAGCGTTATATCCTATATGGATCAGAGCCTAATGCGAAATATCTACCATGCGTGCTTGGAGTACAATGTGCTGCGGCGTTATTTCAGCTCCGGCTACATCATAGAGAAGCTCTACTATACGCCCTATAATGGCGATGGGGAGCCGCAGCATTTGCCCAAATTCGCCCAGCTATATTTGACCGACGATTCGGTGTGCCAGCGCATTATACAGCTGGTCGATGAGTATGACAATTATAATATAGAGGAAATCCAACCAAATATACGGCTTTTCACGTTTCGGCGCGTCCTGAACGAGGTCTTTGAGAATGAGAAGCAATTGGTTATACCGACACGTCTATGCTTTCGCGACTTTACGCTCTATGAGATGCAGGAGTTTCTCAGGGATTTGGTCACGCCTCAGATGTTCGAAACAGCGATCGATGTTAAAGGGGAACACCCGCAGTCCGATTATCCGAGCAACTTTAGTCTGGACATTGCCAGTGATTTCGAGGAGACGAACACGACGCCATATAGCTGTCCGCCACGGAAGCGTTATAGTATTGTCCAGCCGAACGTGTTCGTACGCCCCAAATCGCTGAAGGCCCAGAGGATGATGGACACCAAAAAGGATGTGGAAAAGAAAGAGACTGCGTCGAAGGAGAAGTCACCGCAACTCTCCCGATTGCGGAGCAAGGAAAGTTTTCGTGTGTCTACCAAATCAGCACGCAACTCCACGGGGCGAAACAGTGCACTTCGCAGAGAAGTCTCCAAATCGAATGACTCTGATAAGCCAACATATATTGGTCTACGACCGGATCATCCGATGCTCAAGGGCTACAATTTGGATGATGCACGGCAGACGATCAATGTGAAAAACTCCAAATATTACTTTGAAGAGGGCCTAATAACGCTCTACGAGGAGAAATGGAACTTTAGGCAGATGAACAAATGCCTCTCCCTTGAGATAGATAAGCAGACATTATTCCTGACCAACGAGCTGGGCAGAATGGATAATGTGTCGCCGAATATACGTTTTCAGACACCGAATGGCATTAGCTTACGGATAAAGCCCAATGGCGACGAATGCGCCAAGGCGGTGGTCAATTATCCAAATGGATTGACCCTCTACTGCCACGACACCCATGTGGAGAACTTGTGGTCGGGTCAGCAGAGTGAGCTGAACGAAAGTCGGCGCGTTTATACGCCCTACGGCTGTGTCATCACTTTCTATACCAACAACGATATGGTGATGATAATGCGATATAATGGTGAGGTCTATCGATTGTATAGCACGCCGGAGGTGGTTGAGGAGGACGAGGGCGTGGTTGAGGATGATCCCAGCTTCATCAATGCCTGCTCCACACAATCAACGTACAGCAGCTACAGACCCTTGCCCAAATGCACGGCCAAAAAGTTGAGTAAGCCGAGGAATACATCGTTAACGAATCGCACAGTAGGCGGGTCGGATGCGAAGGGGCGGCGTTCGCAGGAGGCGGGCTCCACCTCATCCGAAACTCTAGCCGCACGGACGGCCAAACTGGAGGCGCGTCAAATGAAATTGACCCAGGCAACAGCTCTATTCGCCAGCATCGATGCGGAGATTAAGTTTCTGGAATTCATTATGCAGCTATTCAATCTGACCTTCAAGCACTTGAAGCTGACCACATCGCTGGGCAGCGTCGTCCACGTGCAGGGCAATGAGATACGGTGCGGCAAGCCGATTCGGGTAACGGAATGGCATGATTACTACGCCAACGAGAGCTATGCCATGCGGGATGATGGTTTGCGCATGGTCTGGACACATGATTCACTGCGCTGCTATCACAGCGATGGCACCTTGATCACCACCAGAACCACGTCTCATTGGGATCAGGGCATTGCCGAGGACGATATTGATAAGCAAATCAGTTCGAGCAGCTCTCATTTGACGAAGAAGAAGCAAAATGACACCGATGTCGATTCTGATGTGGTAAAGTTGAACATAAATCTAATTGACAGACTAGAGGATAATTAGACTGACTAGAGATAATTAGATAGCATACAGCTATACCTTCTAGTAGAAGGTTAAATAGTTATTTAAACAAATTTATGTCAACCTACAAAAAACTGACTCTGGACGTATTCGAACCGCAGCTCTCATCAAGTAACTCAATAGCCCTTCGCGCAACATCTCGACCCGTGTGTGTGTGTGTGCTTGCAAAGGCAACTTAAAGCATTTGCATGTGTGTATGTGTGCCTCAGCATAGCCAATAGGAAGAGCATTTAAATGTATGTGTGCGTTTGCAAAAGCAATCGAATGCATGTGTGTTTCGAGTTGGGCCAGTACATTTCACTGTATGTGTGCGCTTGCAAAGACAACAAAGACAAAGCGTTTGCATGTGTGTGTGCCTATTCAAAGCCAATAGGAAGAGTATTTGAAGCAGGTGTCCACCAGTGTTGGCAGCTTAGCGTCTTTTAGGTTAGCCTAGCTCTAGATCTAGCCTGTTTGAAAAATGAGTATAGGAG